AGAGACCCCAGAGAGAGAGAGAGAGACCCCAAACTAACTAACTACCCCGCCCCCCAAAACGACGACAGAGGTGATGATCAAGTGTCTGCCACTCTCCGCTCCTCTGCTGCACGACGGCGACGATGACGATCAAGTGTAGTATCTGTTTCGATCAGTTTCAAAAACGGCGCACGCACGTGCGCGCGCACCAGAGAGAGAGAGAGAGAGAGAGAGACCCCAAACTAACTAACTACCCCGCCCCCCAAAACGATGACGACGATGACGATCAAGTGTAGTATCTGTTCCGATGAGTTTGATATCCGACCCGTGGACCGTCGGGAGATCTTTATTCAAAAAAGAAAACACACGGAAAAACAGCGCGCAGTAGAGCGAGCGAGCGAGCGAGCGAGAGAGAGAGAGAGAGAGAGAGAGAGAGAGAGAGAGAGAGAGAGAGAGAGAGAGAGAGAGAGAGAGAGAGAGTCTAAACTAACTACCCCACTCATCCCCCATGACTTCTCCGCTCCTGCCGCCCTCCTCCACCCTCTTCCCCCGCTTCTTCACTCTCCCTGCTCCTCCGCCACACCTCGGGGAAAAAAGGACATGCCGCCCCTCCGGTCTTTCTCAATGTGCCTGGCGCCAAGCTTGCCGAGGAAGGTACATGAGGCCAACGGGGATTGAACCCAAGACCTCATGAATGCCACTTGCATGCCATACCAAGGTACGTCGCTGGATTTCAGTCTAGATTCTTGGAAAGACGGTACGGGTAGACATAGCATTCCGATTTCCAAAGCCAACTGTTGCAGAACCTCCCCAACTAGCAGGCGGTGTTGCACACACATTGCCATAGCTGTTAAGGCACAACCCCCCTCGGGACCATGAGTCTAAAAACACCCTCGACCACCACCCCCAAAACGCCCCGAACCCACCACCCCGACTCATTTCTCCCATTTCCCCTCAATCCCTTGCGAGCGAAGCCTCAACAAGTACCCTTGTCAAAACAATAGTTCATAGTCTTTCAATGATTTATCCCTTATACCCAGCTTACATAAGGCATAAAGCTAGACAATCCCATCTTATGGAAACCTGTCTAGCTCAGCCATTAAGTATACACAAACACAGGGCACTACAACTTTTCTCTTCCTTGGGCATATGACTAGGTTATCCAGCCTAGTCGCCCTGAACTGTTGAAGTATCCAAGTCATGGCTGCATCCCCGCCAACCGCCGACCGTATTGCAGCCGACCAGTAGGGCTGACTGGTCGGCGGTCTGCCGACCAGTCAGAAAATAACCATCCACTATTTTTTTTTCAGATCTGAGTTGGAAGTTGTACTGCGCTCATTGAGTACAGCCCAAATCCGCTGAGAAACTTTTAGGGCGGGGGGGTTGGGGGTGGGGTGTATAAGGGCTGTCTCTTATACACATCTAGATGTGTATAAGAGACAGGTCGGTGGGTCGGCAGCCGACCAGTCAAGGGTCACGGACGGTCGGCGTGTGCAACACTGATCCAAGTTATATATAATTGTCTGCACTTCTATCTATACTTAAGAAAGCAGGCGGGAACCGGGCAGCGGGACCGTTTCGGGGGCGAGGCGAAGGCGGAGGAGAGGCCCACGAATTTGTGAGCGGGAGAGGCCAACGAATTTGCGAGCGGGAGAGGCCCACGAATTTGCGAGCAGGCGGGTACGCCCGTAGGCCCGTAGGGAAATTGGAGCGGGTGGCTGGCTGTGCGCTCGTGCGGTAACTGAAGCGGGCCATGCGCACGTAGGAAAAGTGGACAGTTCGAAAATGGGGCGAAGTGGGCGGCTGGCCGTGTGCGCGCGTAGGAAAACTCGAGAGTTCGACAGCGGGGCCCGGGGCCGACGGGGGTTCGGGGCAGGCCGACGTGCAAGCAGGGTATCAACGTGTGTGCACGCGATAACACAAATGGGCCATGCGCACGCA